TTTTCAATAGATATAAGTTTATTAATTATAAATTAGCATTACATATGACTTAGTTTTATAATAAATAAACCTAAAATTATTGTTTGATATATGTTATATAAAAAATCTGACAACAAATATAAAATTAATATATTTAAGATTTAAATTAGTTAAGTACTTTATAGTTTTCAAAGTCTAACAGGTCACACCCGTGTATTTAAGTATTATTACATAATAAATTTAATAGATTAAATTTTTATTTACTTGATAAATATAAGTTTATTATTTTTCAATTAATTTTGATATATACACTGAAAGAACATCAAATTCCCATATTTGCCCCAATGCTTTGAGTCGGTCATTTTTTCTCTGCAGTTAGCACCCTGCAGTTCTCTAAATTCGCTCAATAAAATGTTCATGAACCCGACCCCACTAACCTCTTTCTACTGTTCGTCTTTTCTGTATATAAGCCACCTCTGAGCGCCATATTTGCCTTCTTCCATTTTTCTCTCTCTGTAATCAGCAAACAAAACGGATTGCGTGCGCACACAAACACACTCACACACTGTGCGAAAATGGCGTCGGCAAAACGCGAGCTGCCGCTCTACGACGATTCCCAATTGAAAAAACCTAGGGTTTCCGAATCGGTGCCTTCCTCGTCATCTGCTCCTGATTCAAACCTCCGGGTTGTTCTTAATCCGGCCGATTGCGATATAGGTTTGTTGATCAATCTTGTTTTTATCTTTTCGAAATTATCTGAATTTTATGTATTTTTCTGTCTCGTGGAGAACATCGCCGTTCAATTTCAATGTTTTTGCGTTGATGACTGTTGAGAAGTACAAGCGTAGGGTTTGATGTTTGCAATTTGAAGCTAGTTGTCCTTTTCCCTTGTTTCAGAAAACGTATTTTACTGCTGTTGGCCTAGTTTCAGATGACTCGGGGTTATTGAAATTAAAAGGGGATCGGTCTAAGACATGGTTATGACTCTTAAAATTTATAATTGACGTAGTGTTAAAGAAAAAGATTGAATCTTGAAGAGGAAATTGAGAGGATGAGTGCAAGGTTTAAAAGTAAAAGAACCTTGAGTATGCGTTTATTTTGTAGTGATCGAAAGTGAGAATGCGGCAGATATGTAATCTTTAACTACACTTGTTCTGTTAACGGAAACTTTTTTTGGAATTCTGGATGATCGGAATTTTACTGTCAATGGTTGGGAGACCAAATTTGAATGTTGTCTGTAGATTGTCGAGTAAAGAAACCAGATAAGATGGTTTGCTTAGAAGATTCGATGATTAAACAAGAACTCCTCATGTTTCTTTGCCAACAGTAAGCAAAGCCTGTGAGAGTAGATTTTGGGTTCCATCTGGATTCCTCTAATTATCTTATTAGGCCTACAAGTTCATTGATCTGTTCACCAAATCTTCATGAGCAATGTTGTCAGTTGATCAAGATGTAGCTCGTTTATATCGGAATAATTAGTTCTACTCATGTGAATGTTGATGCTGTACGATTTTGTTCGTGACTATCAATTGTGTGCTTTGAATGTAGTTATGAGACTAATGTGATTCTTTTATTTATTTACAGATTTTACTGTCGAAGGAAATGGTCTACTAGGCTCGGCACTCTATGAGGAAGGGTTTGCTTATTGTTGGTCGGGTGCTCGGGCGAATATAGGAATACGAGGGGGGAAATATTGCTTTGGTTGCAAGATATTATCAGCTCAACCTGTTCACATGGAAGACACTCCCCTCGATTTGCAAAACATCTGTCGTGTTGGCATATCGAGAGGAGATGAGGATGTTCGAAATATGGGGGAGACTCTCTACAGCTTTGGCTATGGCGGCACTGGGAAATTCTCTAATTCAGGGAGCTTCCTCGAATACGGTGAAAGATTTGAAGTCGGTGACACTATAGTTTGCGCTGTTGACCTGGAAAGCTCCCCCATGGCTTCTATTAGCTTCTCGAAAAACGGTATCTGGTTGGGGGTAGCGAAATATTTTGATGCGGGTCCAAATGGCTTAGAAGTAGTGGGCTCTCCTGTCAAAAGGCTACACTGGGAATCAGCTCTTTTCCCACATGTATTGCTGAAAAATGTTGTGGTCCAATTGCAGTTCACCATTGCTGACGGTTTGAATCCGGTAGAAGGCTATAAACCCTGGGATGCTGCAGTTACCGATGGTAATGCGATGCTGGGGCCAGATTTTTCAAATTTCGATGATTGTGAGGTGATAATGATGGTGGGATTGCCTGCTTCTGGAAAGACTACATGGGCTGAAAAATGGGTTAAGGAGCATCCTGAAAAACGATATGTTCTTCTTGGGACGAACCTGGTATTGGAACAAATGAAGGTATGTCCGTTTTTCTTTTTCTATTCTTGCTCCATTTTTATTACCATCTTTTTTTTGATGAAGTTTTTAGTTGCGTTGATCTCCATCCAGGTGCCCGGTTTGCTGCGCAAGGGTAATTACGGCGAACGATTTGAGCTCTTGATGGATCGTGCATCCAAGATTTTCAATACCCTTCTTTCCAGGGCTTCCAAAATACCTCGAAATTTCATTATTGATCAAACTAATGTGTACAAGAGTGCTCGCAAACGCAAACTGAAGCCGTTCGCAGATTTCGTGAAGGTAATTGAAAAATGCTAGAATCTCATGTCGTCTGGTTCTTGGGTTCTAATGCAATAAAAATGGTTTAATACTTTATTGTGGGATCTTTTTACTGGCTCATTGCATCAGATTGCTGCTGTGGTCTTTCCAAGAGCAGAGGAGCTCAAATTCCGTGGTGATAAGAGATTTCGAGAGATGGGAAAGGCAGTTCCTGATGAAGCAGTAAATGAGATGTTAGGTATTCTCGTACAGGATATGTATTTGGTTTTGTTGGGTGACTTTAACATTGCTTTTGATGATTTGAATTTTTGAACTTTTCTTTTGGAAGCCAATTTTAATCTTCCCACGAGCAAGGACATGCATATGGCTGATGAGTACTTCGACCAGGTATTAATTAACTTGAAACGAAATGAGGTAACTTGTCTCTGTTTCTTGCATTGTAACGTTACACGCTTTTTTTCATGTTGTAAAGGTTTGGTTTGTGGAGCTTAGTCGGGACGAGTCCCAGAGAATCTTGGACGAGATGAAGAAAGCAATGCATGAAAAACCATGCATACCTGTCGATTCACGTGGGAAAAGCTCAGTTCAGTATTATACTGGTAACTTCATTTGAAAATCAAGGCAATTTTTCGATTCTTCTCTTAAATCTCCCGTCAAATAATCCCTATTTTTTTCAATGTTCCTCAGGAATTGGTGATAGTTATCAGAGCTCATATTCTTCTCATCATCTGTCAGCAGCCCCATATGAAAGTTACCATTCTACCCCTACCTACGGAGCACCTATCAATACTAATACTAATTACGGAGCGCCTAATACTAATTACACTGCTGGTGTTTTACCTAATTCGAGCCGAATCAATACTGCCGATCCCAATCCAATAATAATGTCTTCACCATCGTCCAATGCTGTCAACTATGGCTATTATGCCAATTCGCCTAGGGGCCCACATTTTCCATACGGTGGGTAAACGAATTTTCTCTTATAAAAACCACTCTATCTTTGCTTACTATCTGATTAAAGAAGTAAATCACTGTAAAAAATTTTACGCCCGTTAATCTTCCACTGACCGTTATATTAACGATTCTTTTGTTTGTATTCCTTAGCAGGCTCGGGCGGGACCCCAATGTCCCGGCCGCCTGTTGGAAGCTTTCCTAGTGACGTGCAGTGTTCGGGGATTTACCCATACCCTTATCCGCAGAGACCTCCGGTGAATTTACCGATGAATGTTGCGCCAAATTACGGAAGTTACACAAATGTCGTGCAGCATGCTGGAATTTACCACCGCCTTCCGGCTCCTCCCGGCCCGCCTTTGCCTACGGATGTACAGCATTCGGGATACTATCATCCCTATCCACATCCTTACTAATAATTTTTGTTACCTTTATCCCTTGCGTGAACTATTGTAGAGTCCAATTACATTGATGGGTTTAAGTTTGAACAGTTTGAGTATATATACCATAGGAATTGGATACTTGTGCTTGCAAGTTACATTGTTTGGTCCATATGGAAAGTTGTGTTTGTGTTTTGCTTATTTTGGGTTTTGGCAGATTTGTGGTGATATAGCTTTGCTTTTTGGTGTTGGCTTGTTACATCATCTTTTAAATATCACTAGTATTAATATCCATGTACAACATGATGGTGGTTGAGTTAATGAATATATATATATAAAGTTATTTATGTCTAATACCAAACTTAATTTCAGAATAAAAATAATATAAAAACATCACGAAGCATAATGTCAAAATACGTTTAGAATTAATATATAGGAAGTTAATGAATATATATATAAAGTTATTTATGTCTAATACCAAACCTAATTTCAGAATAAAAATAATATAAAAACATCACGAAGCATAATGTCAAAATACGTTTAGAATTAATATATAGGGAGGGATGTCAAAAAGATACCTTTCTGATTTGATTATAACTACACTTACTTTTTAGTGTAAATGTGTGTTTTGACATGTTACATCATAATTCATATATCAAATTTTTATTCAAATAAATATAAATTTATGCTCAAAATAGAAGGGGCATGACAAGAACAACTTGAGCAGGCACGGCCTGGTGTTATTTGAGTCGAGTTGAGTAATTCATGTTCGACCTTGTGTGCGTTTAATAAATGAGTCACTTCAGTTCGGCTCAACTCATTTATTAAATCGAAACCTTGTTAAGTGAACTATTTAAGGACAAGTTCAATTCGACTATTTCATTTAAAGCTCATAAAAAGTTAAATGAAAAGAAGAAAAAAAAACAATTTCACAAACAAGTTGGCTCGACTCATTTTAGTAACGAGATTGATTAAGTTTTTGAGTTCGACTAGTTTAAATAAATGAACAAGCCAAGTTGAAGCTTTAAGGAGTCAAACCGAATTGTATTAGCGAAATGCTCCATTGTTTAGCTTAAGGTTGGGATTAACGAGCCAAGTTGAAGCTTTAAGGAGTCAAACCGAATTGTACTAGCGAAATGCTCCATTGTTTAGCTTAAGGTTGGGATTATTTATTTATTTATTTATGGTTTTTTTAAAATTCAAAATCTTGATTTGTCAATAAAAAGAATATTCCTTTACGAATTTTATAATCGTGACTTGGGAAACAATCCACCAGCAAAGAAAAAAATTCGGCACGAGACAGACATTTTGGCTTCAACTTTCAACTCACGATACACAAGAGCCGTTAGCTGTCACCAGATGTACCTTCCGCGTCGAAAGCTGTACATTATAGATGCCACGTAGGACCCGCGCACCACGCACGTGCCAAGCCCGAACTCCTCGAAAGACACGTGTCCTTTCGAGAGAGAAAGCTCACGAAATTTGGGAGCACGAGAAAAGTTGGTGTACAGTGCGGACCACCACTTTACCCTGCACCCTCCTCCCACTTTTTTGGGCTATAATAATCTCGCGCTTCATTTTCATTTGCTCTGAATCTCAAGCTACCAATTTGGACTGTCTTTTACCTAAATTCTCTCTCCCCATTTTCTCTCTCTAGAAGCAAACCCGACGGTAGGCTTCTTCTCTTTCTTATTTCAGCCTGTGAATTGAGTTGATAATTTTTTTCCTCATCTGTTTTTGTTGTTGTTATTGTTGTGTTCAATTATCAGGTGATCTGCAGCGAGCTTTGAGAAACTGCGAAAAAATGGCGGTGTTTCAGAGGTTTTCAAGGACTTTCAGGGAAAATCCTTCGCTGGCTAAGATGTTGATTGTTTTCACTGTCAGGTACGCTCTCGTGATCTGTGTTTTGTGTGGTGTGGGATTTAGTGAGAAATTTTGTTCTAGACTTGTGGTTCATGTTGAGACCGCCTTCGTTTGATGTTGTTTTGCTCAGCTGCTTGATTTGGTTAAGGTGGTTTCGTGTGTGCGTGTGTGTGTGTGTGTGTGTGTGTGTGTGTGTTTTTCTTTTTTTCTTTTTTTTTTTTGGCGAGTGTGTGTAGATCTGATTGTGTTGATCTATGCAGCGGTAGATTGTGTTATTTGTGGCAATGTTGAGGTGTTTCCCTCCTTAAAATTTAGGAAATAAATTAGTTCTGAGATGATACAATTTCGTGATCAAGAAAACAACCCATATAATGGTTCTCCTCTGTTTCGTATGGTAATATATATTTATTTTGGACGATTTGATATGATTTTCTCAATTGACTTTGGTCTAGACGAGCTGGGAGAGTTAAGGTGTAAGGTGTAAGTGCCTTTGGCTTGAGAGTTGAGATAGACTTGGATTGTTCTCATTAGGCTTTTTGCATTCCTTGTTTCTTAATAAGCAACTGTAAATGATTGCATTTTATGTATTACTTACAAAAATAGGGTAGATGTGTTGGTTTGGGTCTGTCTAGGAAGGAAGTCAATCTTAGTTTTTTGTTGGGAGGCAAATGAGCTGAGTCGAGCAACGCCCTTATCGAGCATAGCTCAATTTTATTGGATCGGTTCTCAAGCTCAATGAGCTTTGGCTTAACTCGACTCGACAATATTATACAAAAGCTCGAGACCGACTCGAATATCATCAGTTTGAGATTGACTCAAATCTAAGGAGAATTTTTGCTCGAGTGTAGGCCAATTTAACTTGAGTTATGGGTATTTTGGGAACTAACATATATATACTCGAGCGTGTTGTTGAGCAAATGGTGCTTACAAAATTACAAGCCCGGCCGCAGTTCGAGGTGCTTGAGCTTGAATCGAGCTTTGACTCGTTTGCAGCCTAATGGAAACTTGTGAGCTGTTAATATTATGTATTTGTTATTCTATTTGGTTCAAAATTTTGATTGATTGTGTGGTCATACATGTGTATTTTGTTTTCAATAAATTTGGTTTATTCCCTTTTATTAAATGAAAATAAAAAGATAAAAGTGATTGCATTTTCGCGGAACTAGACAAACTGTGCCAGCAACAAAGGAAGGAAGACTTCTTACTAGGTAAAAGGAAAGAAACATCCCCATAGAAAACATAATAGCTACAATGAAAAAGCTCAATGTGATCAGCTGTGTTATATTTATAGACGTCAGATGGGTGCTCCTTCAAGTTTTCTAATAGGATATGATGCACAATATACTTCAGAAAGATGATCATTCCATGATGGAAATTGAGAATTAAGGATTTTTGGTAAAAATTATATTGATTGTATGAATTTAAGGGAAGCAATCTTGTTGAACTTTTCATTTAGTTGCAACAACACAATACCGTAACCGCATCAAATGTCAACATTCTCTCTCTCTCTCTCTCTCTCTCTCTCTCTCTCTCTCTCTCTCTATATATATATATATATATATATAAATGCAGTGGTGGGGGTCTTGTGGCTTTCTCTGAGGCTAAATCGGAAAACGAAATAAATGTTGTCAATTCAACTGAGACTGATCACAAGAAGAAAAGAGTGGTGGTGCTCGGAACTGGATGGGCTGGAACGAGTTTCTTGAAAAGCCTGAAGAACCCATCATACGACGTGCAAGTGATATCGCCACGTAACTTTTTCGCATTCACCCCGTTACTGCCGAGCGTGACCTGCGGGACAGTCGAACCTCGCAGTATTGTAGAGCCGATCCGCAACATTGTGAGAAGAGTAAGTTTTTCAGCACCGGAAAGTTACATAATGTAGTACTACTTGCTAAAAGGAGCGTTTTTAGCAGCTTGGTCTTTTGCTGTAAAATTCGAGCACTTAACTGTCCCTTTTCTTCAGAAAAATGTAGGTATACATTATTGGGAAGCAGAGTGCTTCAAGATTGATGCTGAAAACAAGAAGGTTTACTGCCGATCAAGTCCGTCCGGCAATGAGAAAGAAACGGAGGAGATTGTTGTCGACTATGACTATCTTGTGATTGCCACCGGAGCACGTGCAAATACATTTAACATCCCAGGAGTGGCTGAAAATTGCCATTTTCTGAAGGTATCCGTCTTTACTTTCATCCTCTTTATTTAAACCTCATGTTTTTAGGCTTATTGAAATAGGTTACTTATTGTTGTGCAGGAAATAGAAGATGCTCAGAGAATCCGGAGGACAATTGTTGATTGTTTTGAGAGGGCCAGTTTGCCTAACCTAACTGATGAAGAACGAAAGAAGATCCTTCACTTTGTCGTCGTTGGTGGAGGTCCGACCGGCGTGGAATTTGCAGCAGAGCTTCATGATTATGTGAACGAAGATCTCGTCAAGTTGTACCCCAAGGCCAAGGAGGCGGTCAAGATTACTCTTCTTGAAGCTACAGACCATATTCTTAACATGTAAGTGTCTTGTTTCTTAAAGTCAACTCATTTTACGACACTTTAATTGATACTGCTGTACTGTACTGGAATATATATCGATTGATTTAATCATGATAATAACCAAGAAAAAAAAATGGTACCATTGGCGTAGCTCATGATCGAGGTCAACTCTAGTGTAAGACATTTGTCAATACTGTGGATTACATCCAAATTAGTCAAATATATTGCTATTACCTCTTTAATTGTGGTCTTAATGCAATGTTGCAGGTTTGACAAAAGAATCACGGCTTTTGCCGAGGAGAAATTTCAGAGGGACGGGATTGATGTGAAAACCGGGGCGATGGTTGTCAAAGTATCGGATAAAGAAATCTCCACCAAGGAATTGAAGAATGGCGGAGTGGTGTCCACTATGCCGTATGGAATGGTCGTCTGGTCTACCGGAATTGGAACTCGCCCTGTCATAATGGACTTCATGAAGGAAATTGGTCAGGTACTAGCATCGAGGCATATGTACAGCTAACAAGTTGTATTTTTTCTGCTTATTGCTGAAGTGATTCTAAAATCGAGTAGTCAAAAACCGAGATTGCTGAGAATTGAATTTCCGTTGGCCAGGGTAACAGACGTGTACTAGCGACGGACGAGTGGCTGCGAGTAGAGGGAAGTGACAGGATATACGCACTCGGAGA